ATTAAGAGAACTGCCCCAAACATAAAAAAATCTGTTTCCCTGCCGGATCGGGTTGCCCTACGTGCCGCTTACAGACCGATAGTAACTATGTAAAAAGAAAGTTTATTCCCTACGTGCCGCTTGAAGACCGTTTAAAAATTATAAGAACTGCCCCAAACATACAAAAATTTGTTTCCCTGCCCGATCGGGTTGCCCTACGTGCCGCTTATACAAACCAATATTATCTATCTAAAAGACAGTTCATGCCCTACGTGCCGCTTGAAGACCGTTTAAAAATTACAAGAACTGCCCCAAACATACAAAAATCTGTTTCCCTGCCCGATCGGGTTGCCCTACGTGCCGCTTACAGACCGATAGTAACTATTACTAAATAAAGTTTATTCCCTACGTGCCGCTTGAAGACCGTTCAAAAATTACAAGAACTGCCCCAAACATAAAAAAATCTGTTTCCCTGCCCGATCGGGTTGCCCTACGTGCCGCTTACAAACCAATATTATCTATCTAAAAGACAGTTCATGCCCTACGTGCCGCTTGAAGACCGTTCAAAAATTAAGAGAACTGCCCCAAACATAAAATAATCTGTTTCCCTGCCCGATCGGGTTGCCCTACGTGCCGCTTACAAACCAATATTATCTATCTAAAAGACAGTTCATGCCCTACGTGCCGCTTGAAGACCGTTCAAAAATTACAAGAACTGCCCCAAACATAAAAAAATCTGTTTCCCTGCCCAATCGGGTTGCCCTACGTGCCGCTTGAAGACCGTTCAAAAATTAAGAGAACTGCCCCAAACATAAAATAATCTGTTTCCCTGCCCGATCGGGTTGCCCTACGTGCCGCTTACAAACCAATATTATCTATCTAAAAGACAGTTCATGCCCTACGTGCCGCTTGAAGACCGTTTAAAAATTACAAGAACTGCCCCAAACATACAAAAATCTGTTTCCCTGCCCGATCGGGTTGCCCTACGTGCCGCTTACAGACCGATAGTAACTATTCATAAATAAAGTTTATTCCCTACGTGCCGCTTGAAGACCGTTCAAAAATTACAAGAACTGCCCCAAACATAAAAAAATCTGTTTCCCTGCCCGATCGGGTTGCCCTACGTGCCGCTTACAAACCAATATTATCTATCTAAAAGACAGTTCATGCCCTACGTGCCGCTTGAAGACCGTTTAAAAATTACAAGAACTGCCCCAAACATACAAAAATCTGTTTCCCTGCCCGATCGGGTTGCCCTACGTGCCGCTTACAGACCGATAGTAACTATTCATAAATAAAGTTTATTCCCTACGTGCCGCTTGAAGACCGTTTAAAAATTATAAGAACTGCCCCAAACATACAAAAATTTGTTTCCCTGCCCGATCGGGTTGCCCTACGTGCCGCTTATACAAACCAATATTATCTATCTAAAAGACAGTTCATGCCCTACGTGCCGCTTGAAGACCGTTTAAAAATTACAAGAACTGCCCCAAACATACAAAAATCTGTTTCCCTGCCCGATCGGGTTGCCCTACGTGCCGCTTACAGACCGATAGTAACTATTACTAAATAAAGTTTATTCCCTACGTGCCGCTTGAAGACCGTTCAAAAATTACAAGAACTGCCCCAAACATAAAAAAATCTGTTTCCCTGCCCGATCGGGTTGCCCTACGTGCCGCTTACAAACCAATATTATCTATCTAAAAGACAGTTCATGCCCTACGTGCCGCTTGAAGACCGTTCAAAAATTAAGAGAACTGCCCCAAACATAAAATAATCTGTTTCCCTGCCCGATCGGGTTGCCCTACGTGCCGCTTACAAACCAATATTATCTATCTAAAAGACAGTTCATGCCCTACGTGCCGCTTGAAGACCGTTCAAAAATTACAAGAACTGCCCCAAACATAAAAAAATCTGTTTCCCTGCCCAATCGGGTTGCCCTACGTGCCGCTTACAAACCAATATTATCTATCTAAAAGACAGTTCATGCCCTACGTGCCGCTTGAAGACCGTTCAAAAATTAAGAGAACTGCCCCAAACATAAAATAATCTGTTTCCCTGCCCGATCGGGTTGCCCTACGTGCCGCTTACAAACCAATATTATCTATCTAAAAGACAGTTCATGCCCTACGTGCCGCTTGAAGACCGTTTAAAAATTACAAGAACTGCCCCAAACATACAAAAATCTGTTTCCCTGCCCGATCGGGTTGCCCTACGTGCCGCTTACAGACCGATAGTAACTATTCATAAATAAAGTTTATTCCCTACGTGCCGCTTGAAGACCGTTCAAAAATTACAAGAACTGCCCCAAACATAAAAAAATCTGTTTCCCTGCCCGATCGGGTTGCCCTACGTGCCGCTTACAAACCAATATTATCTATCTAAAAGACAGTTCATGCCCTACGTGCCGCTTGAAGACCGTTCAAAAATTAAGAGAACTGCCCCAAACATAAAATAATCTGTTTCCCTGCCCGATCGGGTTGCCCTACGTGCCGCTTACAAACCAATATTATCTATCTAAAAGACAGTTCATGCCCTACGTGCCGCTTGAAGACCGTTTAAAAATTACAAGAACTGCCCCAAACATAAAAAAATCTGTTTCCCTGCCCGATCGGGTTGCCCTACGTGCCGCTTACAAACCAATATTATCTATCTAAAAGACAGTTCATGCCCTACGTGCCGCTTGAAGACCGTTCAAAAATTAAGAGAACTGCCCCAAACATAAAATAATCTGTTTCCCTGCCCGATCGGGTTGCCCTACGTGCCGCTTACAAACCAATATTATCTATCTAAAAGACAGTTCATGCCCTACGTGCCGCTTGAAGGCCGTTCAAAAATTACAAGAACTGCCCCAAACATAAAAAAATCTGTTTCCCTGCCCGATCGGGTTGCCCTACGTGCCGCTTACAAACCAATATTATCTATCTAAAAGACAGTTCATGCCCTACGTGCCGCTTGAAGACCGTTCAAAAATTAAGAGAACTGCCCCAAACATAAAATAATCTGTTTCCCTGCCCGATCGGGTTGCCCTACGTGCCGCTTACAAACCAATATTATCTATCTAAAAGACAGTTCATGCCCTACGTGCCGCTTGAAGGCCGTTCAAAAATTAAGAGAACTGCCCCAAACATAAAAAAATCTGTTTCCCTGCCCGATAGGGTTGCCCTACGTGCCGCTTATACAAACCAATATTATCTATCTAAAAGACAGTTCATGCCCTACGTGCCGCTTGAAGACCGTTTAAAAATTACAAGAACTGCCCCAAACACACAAAAATCTGTTTCCCTGCCCGATCGGGTTGCCCTACGTGCCGCTTACAGACCGATAGTAACTATTCAAAAATAAAGTTTATTCCCTACGTGCCGCTTGATAACCGTTCAAAAATTACAAGAACTGTCCCAAACATAAAAAAAATCTGTTTCCCTGCCCGATCGGGTTGCCCTACGTGCCGCTTACAGAGCGATAGTAACTATTCGAAAATAAAGTTTATTCCCTACGTGCCGCTTGATAACCGTTCAAAAATTACAAGAACTGCCCCAAACATAAAAAAATCTGTTTCCCTGCCCGATCGGGTTGCCCTACGTGCCGCTTACAAACCAATATTATCTATCTAAAAGACAGTTCATGCCCTACGTGCCGCTTGAAGACCGTTTAAAAATTACAAGAACAGCCCCAACATGCAAAAATCTTCTCTGCTCGATCGGGTTTCAACAGGCCTTTGTATACCAAAACGGTGACAAGTTTTCCTCTCTTGCACAGCAAACCTGCAGAGAATACAGTGCCTAAATATCACTCATCTCAGATCTCAGTAAAATAAAAACAAATTTCCTCACTCATCTTTCGTTTGTTTTGTTAGTTCTTTCAGACGTTCCGTTACATCTGCTCATTTGTATCTGCTATTTGTACCTACATGCGGATGTCATATTTGGAGTAAAATCTCTCTCACTGAGTGTTTTCAAGATACTAAACACCTCACACAGAAGAGTCGAATTTGTAATGAACTCAGTTTTAGCTCCGATGTTACCGGGAGTACGCTTGGCAAATTCCTACCTCAAAATTCCCCTCTCCATAAAACCAAATTTTCGGCGATAACAATCTTATTAGAAGCAAATATCAAACATAGAAGCACAAGAGAATGATGATCCAACTGCGAAAGCACTTCCGGTCAGATTAGATTCCCCTCCCATAGAAACCAAATCTTCGGCGATGACAATCTCTTATTAAGAGCAAATTTCAAAGAACATATTCTCGAATGAGAAGAATCCAGAACAACAGTTATTGGAAGAAATCCTAGAATGAACGTAGAAATTAAAACAGTTCCCAGGATGGTCAAAACTGCAGACGTGAAAACTAATGACGGATCGAAAACACGCCCGAAACATGCCGTTATGCATGTGTGTTGTTTCAGTTGCCATACTTACGAAATTTGGCACCGTTCCAAAGGCTTACGAAAATCTGGCATCGTGCCATTTGACTGACTTACTCAGCGCTATTGGCAGCAATCCAATTCCAAAGATCAGTATATTTCATCATAATTTTTACGTCTGCGCCCTCCTCGTTTGCCATAATCCAACTATCAGAGGGTTAATGGGTAAACAACGAATTCGTTATATATTACGTAGTGATCTTGTGCTGGTTGACGTCGCGTTGCGGCATCGCTTCGCGGAAATGCTCACCTTATGAGTCCTGGCTTGTTCCTAGTTGTTCGGCCAGGCGTGGCTTGCACTGATCGTACGCGCCGATACAAAGATAAAAGCGGCAACTCCTCGGAACAACGTGAGGAACAACGTTCGTATCACTATCCCAAGACGGTATCGCTTTATTGATCTACCGAAGCAGCGCATTGCTGCTGCATGCTGTCGTATATCTTCGTAGCGTTTTGTAATAAAGCGTGGTCATACATTGTGAAGTTACTGTGAAGGTATATCTAATTTTGTGTGTACTCCTAGAGAAACCACCGAAATCTCATCCATTGAAGGAAGCCGTAAACTGCTTGATTATCTAATGTAATTGCATTGTAGATCGCACGGGGGGCTCCAAAGCCGCATCCAAGAACGGACAGACAGCAGATTCCAATGCAGAAGCAGCACCTAGAATGACTGAAAATGAGAAGAAGATATTCGGTATAAAAAAGAAGCTGAAAGACGTCAGTGTACTGAAGGTTTGTTCTCCTGTTCTGAAGATGCTTAGACGTTTTTTAAATGCAGACTCCAATATTCGGAGAATGTAGCTAGCCGAGGGGGCGCAGCACACTACCAAATTTGCACGACGAGGCCTCACTATTTTCGGTGTTTGTTCGTTTTTTGCCCCAGTGTCTCGCAGTGACGAATTAATTGCTTTTTGCAAATCATAGGAATGAAAATGTTTGCAGAATTGATTTTTTTGCAGAAAAGAGGAAGTTCAAGCCAATGTAGTGGTGAAGTATCATAATGTTGAATCTGAACTGATCATGATCTTTATTTTGGGAGGTTTCCCGACGCTGTTGCTGCCTTTGACTCGCTTACTTACTTACAAGGGAAGTCACTTAACTTAGGTTGGCCTTTTGAAAAGAGACACATATGTTTAGAATCAGCTCGGAACGCTGATTCCAAACATGCCGTCCTTAGCTGCGAAGCGTTTCTCTGAAGCGAGTTATGAGCTTTTTAACATGTGTTATTGACATACAACTAAATATGGAAAAAGGCCTATAGACGGAATCTGCTCCAAAAAAATGATGGAAAATCGAAATAACATCAAAATGAGCCATTTAGCCTTGATAGAGTGTATTAGGCATTTGAACCACTACCTGGATGACAATACCGTAGCATGCCTAAGTCGGTCGGCAGGCAAACTTTGCTTAGGAAACTCATAAACCGCTTCAGAGGAACGCTTCGCAGCTAAGGACAGCATATTTGGAATCACTGTTCCGAGCTGATCCAAATATGTGTGTCTCATTTCAAAAGGCCGACCTAAGTTAAGTGACTCTTGTTAGATACTTACAAGGAGAGGATACTTAGTCGAAAGCACCAATCCAGATGAGACATATATCATCTTAAAGCGCTTGAAACGCTGATTTCAAATCTGCAGTTTCTAGCTGCGGAGCGGTTTTGTAGAAGGAGTTATGAAGGGTGTTCCCCTCTGGGTTTTAGGCGTCCTCCAGCGGTCTCCCCTTATCTGGAAGCACCATAGAGGAGTATCAGCTGATGGCAACTGACCTAACGTAATAACCTGAATGAAGATTACAGTAAAGATTATAATACTCATATTACTTTGGTTTTTTAACACTTCTAACTTTGATAGTATCAATATCATCAGAAGTTTCATGCTTTGGGGCTCTAAAGTCATTTAGAAGTTCAATTTAGCAGGCGAAGGGGAATAAAACCTTGACACTCTCTTTATCAAGCACGTCACTTACTTCTAGGTCAGTTGCCACCAGTTGGTACTCCTCTACAGTGCTCATAGGTAGGGGGAGACCTGGTGGAGAGCGCCTCAACCCAGGGAAAACACCCCTCATAACTCCCTCTACAAAACTGCTCCGCAGCTAGAAATTGCAGATTTGGAATCAGCGTTTCAATCGCTTTAAGATGATATATGTCTCATCTGGATTGGTGCTTTCGACCAAGTATCCTCTCCTTGTTAGATGGCACGTCTTCACGTGGCATGCGGGTCTCAGCACAAAAGTTTCCATCGATCCTTGTCCCTCGCGTCAGACATCCACGATATTCTTGTTTGACGTCGTTATTTTCATCTTCCACGCTTTTTCCTTCTTGTTGCCGCCAGTATGCAGCTCGACCTCATATATCATACTTGTGTCCATTGTTGTTATTATTTTGTTGCCGTAGATTGGTCATCCTCTTGGTGCTCAACTTTCCTTCCTTCTTGCAGTTAAACCGTAGTTCGCCAAAGTCTCTTCGCGAAGTGATTTCCCCTGACTTTGATGCGTCCGGTTTCTGTGATGTGCTATTGTTTTTTTTTTTCAAGTATGGTCTTGATTCAATCCTTTTCACTACGGATGCTTATCTTGAATATCATTGTAATATGTGAGAGTCGAACTGCACATGGGCGGCAATAAAAAGAAGAAACCATGGAGGATGGAAAGCGTAGGCGGTGCACTCAAAGTAGTGAGAATCTGATGAGTTTGCGCTTCAACGAACAATAGCGGCTAGCGGCGGCTGCTGGCGCGATATGAAGGCATCCTTACGACGTTTTCATTGCTTTCTGGAGAGATAGACGACTTCGAAAACAAGGGATGATTCTCTGTTGATCCCTCATGGAATCACAAAACAGTGAAAATCTCAGCTAATATGGCAGTATTCTGCCATCCATTATATTCAAGTAACAGGGTATAAGAGCTTTAATGACATAGACAGAAATAGATGTACACAGCAGTGGCGGACTGGCGGACCGAGGCCCCCCCCCCCTCGGTCCGCCAGTCCGCCACTGCTGTATACATCTAGAATGGGTCGCGAAATTTTTGAAAATCACTTACATGGGTTATAAAAATGCGCAAGTGACTTGTTTATTCTTGTAAACAGTTAAAATAATTTTTAAAGCTTTAAAAAATTCAAACAAACCTCATAAAAAAAATTTTCGGGGGCGTGGCTGACGCCAGGCACCTTCATTGGAAAAATTTTTTTGCCTCCCCCCCCCCCCCCGGACGGAGATCCTGGGACCGCCACTGGTATACAGATATTCAAAGTGGCGAAATATGACGCGTCTCTTCTCAGATTCCCTCCCCTCCCGAAGGGGAATGTACTTGCCTATGGGCCTTATTAGGTGTGCTGGTGAAAATTTGTGCACAAAGTGATCACGACCCTTGTCGAGGACCGCTAACCTCCCACCTAGAGCTAAACGGCAGTGGATTTGGAGCGGTGCTCAGACCAGAAATCCGACAAAGGTCGCAGCCGTCGGTACCTTTTGCTGCTTGGGAGACCTTGCTAGAGCACTCATTCAATTGTAAATCGCAGGTCGCCACCTAGTGTCACCCCCACACCATGTTAAGGCGGCAATCAGGGTCAAGCGTGGGGTGTGGCACGCCGCACTTGGGGGTCGTGAAGGGGCCAGGGAGAGAAGGGGGTGATCATTATCGAGGTGATAGTGATGTTGACGACATGATGTCAGTCGACAATGTCTGATAGGCCCATTGCGCAAGATACTAGCACTGGTGTTTTGACCTACCGTCGTACACGTACAATGAGCATAATAAAAGGCTCCTGAAAGCATAAAAGCATCATTTTCGTAGTTACTATGTTAAATTACCCCTGTGGGCCAAATCTCAGCGAATCTTGAGGTTTTCAAATATTGGGACACTCAGGTGAGGTGGACGTTTGCGAACATGTTAACTCTATTTTGATGGTGAATAACTAATTCTTTTTGCACTCAATACAAAGTACTACTATTTCTTTGCTCACATTAGAAATCCCACTTCAACCAACCTTCGAACTCTGGAATTAGGAGCAAACCAAAGTCACGTTTGTCCCATTTTTCGCTCTCATTATCTCAAACTAAAGAAGACCAGTCAGGCTCAGATCACTTTTGTGAAAGTTACTAGGTAGGCTGTCGAATATACCTGTTCTTGCCGCCTTCCCTCGCGATTCACGTAGTAGCGCAAACTCAGCATACTACCGGAATTCAATATTTTCGCAGTGTTTTCCATTTGCATAGTTAAGGAAAAACGGACTATATCTTTCCTAAGAGAAATTTTGAATGAAGTTTCTGCTATGTGGAGAAGAAAGTTTAGCAGTAGAAATCATATTCAAAAGACAGAGAGGCAGCGTCCGGGCAAAAAGTCGATTTTGAGATTTTGTGCTTATCCGTGCCTATTCGCTATGCTGAATCTGAAAATCCACAACGGAGAGCGCGAAAACGACGAAAAAAGGCTCAAACGCAAGAGGGAAATCAGCAGAGGGGTGGGGTCTTCCCCACTGTGGATTCACGCTTCCAGCTTCCGGAGCGATCTTCCCAATACCGCTAACCGCCCTGACATCTCCACCGGCCAAGTGCAAACGCGTAACTTGAAATGGGAACCGCTCCAGAAGCTGGGAGCGTGAATCCACGTGGGGACGACCCCGCCCACCTGCTGATTTTGCGTTAGAACCCTTTTTCTTCGTTTACGCACTCTCCAATATGGATTTTTGGATTCAGCTAGCGATTAGGCCCGGGTAAACATAATATCTCAGTGAAGAGCATCAAACGCTGATTCCGCCTTTTGACGCTGGATTATAATGTTTTTGAGAGTCGAAAAAAAAACACGCAAATTCCAGGGAACTTACTTGTCTTGGTCCCTCCAGTGCTCAATATTTATTGTATAAAGTGCACTGATATTCAATATTAGATCATTTGAGCTCTTCCAAAGGGTTTCGCTCCAGTTATGCGTTCATTTTCTTAACCCCACTCATGAATCAGCGTCCAAAGACCAAATACCGAGAATAAAAATGGAATCAGCATTCGATGTTCTTCGGAATTGTCTATTCATTTAAAGGCCTTCGATTGAAAAGACTTCCATTACCAGTAACAGTTGTTGAGAGCACAACCACTGAATGCAAAATCTGGATAAATAAAGATGAATGTCGTTTGTCTGTATGTATGTATGTCTGTACGTATGTTGCGAATATAAAATTCTATTCCTGAACTGATCCGAATCAAACTTTGCACACATACACTTCGGAGGGCGAGTGTCGTAGGCTTTTTTGCTAGCGATCCATTTACTTTTTGCAAACTTAAGCTACGGGGCTGGGAGTTCGCACAGGGAGGTATGTGAACAAACTAGAAAACAGATTACGAATGTACTATTGATAGGGCTGGGCGGAGCCGAATTTGCCAGCTAGTCTGCGATAAACAAGATTTTGGCTGGGCTTCTATTCCATTATTTGGCAGTCATTTGAAGTGGATCTTTCGTGTGAGCCAAGCAAGAGAGTTGCTTTGTACAATCTGCAAAAAGAGATAGGTAATTCATTTGAAGCAGAGGTAATCCATGTTCGAAAGTGAGCGCTGGATGTGGTCCATGCAGCTGGATTCATTCAGCTGCATGGACCATATCCAGACGGTTTCGAGGGTCATAGAAGTCTGCCGAAAATACCGACTGCCTCTCGTCCTGCCTTCGTCGACTACAAGAAAGCCTCCGACAGCGTCGAAACGAACGCCACTCTGTCAGCGTTGGTTGATCAAGGAGAGTGGACCCAGCTTACGTGAGGACACTAGCCGACTGTTACAAGGACTGTACAACAACGCTGCAGCTATTCCATCGGCCCCTGATCATTATAATTGGAAAGGTGTACGACAAGGCGACACTATTTCGCCGAAGCTGTTCACCGCGGCCTTGCAGTGGGTGATGAAATCACTGGACTGGGATGAGAGAGGCGTACGAGTTGATGGAAGATTGCTGTCCAATTTTCGTTTCGCGGATGGCATCGTTTTCTCGAGCAGTATCACTGAAGCAGAGACGATGCTGAAGGAACTAAGCGAAGTAGGGAAGAAGATCGGATTGCGAACAAATCGGAAGAAGACTTAGTTCATGAAGAATGCCCTTTGCGAAGATGCGGAAATGGAACTGGAAGGCGCTCCAATCATGGAGACGTCTTCTCACGTGTATCTCGGACGTTCGATGAACATGTTAACAGGAGAAGAAGAGCAACCTGGGCCGCCTTCGGGCCTCTGAAGGAAACTACTGACAACTGACGGACCCGGAGCCCCGTGCCCACCTGTGCGACTCAACCGTTCTCCCGGCGCTCTGTTACGCAGCTGAGACTTGGGCCGATACTGCAGGACGAAAGCTTTACGGACCACCCACATAGCGCTCGAGCGCATTCTTCTGAAGATGACCCGAACAACATCTTGTCGGACTTTGCAGTACGGATATGAGAAGAATGTTCCGTCTTTGTGACTCAGCGGAATACGTTGCGAAAGCGAAACACCGATAAGCTGGTGACATCATGAGAAAAACAGACGACAGATGGACACTAAGAACACCTGAGTGAATTACTCGCAAAGCTAAATCTTCAAGGAAGACCACCAACGAGAGGGGCAGGCGTGTTCGTGGAACGGATGGATCAACTGAGAAATCAGCTGGATACGATTATCGCACTAACTTATGGACGCGGCCACCGACGGCAGCCAAGAAGATCGTGGATGTCTGAAGCGAGGGACAGGGCAAATGGGGACTTTTGTGCTGAGGCCTGCACGCTACGTGAAGACGGGCCATCTAAGTAAGTAAGTAAAGAAGTGAGCGCTAGGTGATCCAATATTCAGAAACCAGTATTTACTAAAATTAGGTTTAGAGGAGTATTTGACATGCCCATCTTGAAAGTGATACTCATTGTGCTCGGTAAACCTCATCCTCATGCAAAACAAGCTCAATAAGGTAATCCTCAAACATTCGGGTAAGTTGGAATTGACGCAAAATTTGAAGCAGAAGTCCATGAGCAATTCATGGCGCCGAAACTGGATCTTTGCCCCAAGGCTGCGTTCATACTGATCCGTAAGTTTGGGACCAGTTCCGGCACAGCACTCGGTTGGAGTATGTGTTGGAATTGTTCTCAAACTTCCGGATCAGTATGAACGTCCGCTTGCAGCGGAGGCAGGCAATCCATATACCTGCTGTATAATTTTCATAATCAGAAAATTAAGGATAAATGATAGTTCGATAGGAATTCTTGTTCTTACTTTTCCATTTGCAGGCACGACTTGCCAACGGCGAGGAACTGCAGGCGAATCAGTTAGAAAAAATCGCAAAGGAGTCAGAGTTCCTTGCTCTCTTGGAGAGTTTAGGTGGAACCTTGTAATGGTCATTTGTCTCATTGAGCTGTGAATGTATATTTTCAGCTCTTGACATTGTTATTGATGATTAGTGATACGTTGTCTGTTAAATCCATGTCCCTATATGCCATTGATTCTTTCTGGTTGTTCACATTCATTACAAAGTATCTTTTGAGCTAGAATTTCTCACATACGTTGCGGGGCATTGTTTTGTTGTTGTTTGAGATGTAGCTACGATCAGGTAGCGTTCACTGTAAAAATGACGGCTTTTCATTTGTCGAATCGAGTCGTTTTTGAAGCTTCGTAACTAATCACGCCACCTGTGCATTACAATAATTGGGAGAAAGAGCAGAAAAATATTTTGAACATTAGGCAAAATAATGATGGAGAGGATGAATCGCGGCTGGGCATCTAGTTTTGATGAGTGACTATACAGCAATGGCGGGAAACCATACCCTGAGAATATGTTTTGTATTGACAACGCTTGCCATGAGCTTGGATCCTAAAGCCTGACCGAGTTTTCTGGAAACACGAATATATTTTATCTATTTACAGAGCATGCGTAAAATCCCTCAAATATCTGCGAGTGCTATAGTAACTGTGCAACAAAACTGATGATTTGGTTTTCAGTTCGTGAGTACTAAGCCAACGCAGCTTTTGAATGAACTGACGGGGAAATGGTCGGAGTCATCCATTCCGCTCAAGCTGATCTCGAGTTTGTTTATTGTCTGCGAAGGAGTCACAACCTAATAGATTTTCCGCTTAGTATAGTGTGCTGGCACAGCAGGTAAAATACGATGAAATGTGCGCGCGAATAGACAGCTACGCTAATGACGCCGGCCAACAGCCCCCCCCCCCCACCACCGAGAATGGGTCTTGAAATCTTTGAAATTTATTTACATGGGTTATAAAAATGTGCAAGTGACTTGTTTATTCTTGTAAATAATAAAATAATTAATTAGCTTTCTAAGAAAATTTTTCGGGGGCGTGGCTAACGCCACGCCCCTTTTTTCAAGATTTTAAGAGCTATGGGCCCGCAGAAATTTTGAGAAGCACCACGAAAAAATTTTGCTGCCCCCCCGGTCCGAAATCCTGGGACCGCCACTGCTGTTCACGTACAAATTCTACAGCACTTCACCTGCAGTGCAAGCACACTAAACTGAGCAAAAACCTCGATGACCATTTAAATATGAGGAATTATTTGAGTACTAGCTGGCTTACCCGGCTCCGCCGGCACCACATACACTTCGGTCAAAAAAAAAAGCCGAAGTTGTATTCCTCAAAAAGAGGAATACAACTTCGGCTCTTTAGTTGTACCGTTCGTTCCTACTCTTAGACGGTTTGGCTAAACAGGTCCTAGGCTTTCAACGGAACTCATCAGTAAGGAAGGAAGCTCGACTGGATCTGTTCAACTTCTTGTTTGTCCTACCCACCTGCCGTGACCGCCGTTGGCCGCCGTTTTTTGGGTTTTCGTTTCGCCATTTATTGGATTTAGTATTTTTCCAATTTTTTGGATTTTCCAATAGAATGGCATGCAACAAATAAATACTGTACTATACTATAGCATGCAATTATGTTAGTGCCCTGGGATACACTGCGTTAGCTGTGCTCCCTTCGGGCGCATATATGTACAGGTTCGCCGGTCTCCCGACCCTCGAACACGCCACGTACAGTTGACCATGCGAAAAACAGGGAGTTTCCAGGTCTACTCCTACTGTTCGCAGAGACCTTGCGCTTTGTTGATCGTCATAGCAAGTGCAGGCCTGACCGGAAACTGCACTCGCCTGAAGTCAAAGGGCATATCGGAGGGGACCAAAGGGACTCATGGAATATGAACGACTTCGCCTTTCAACTTCGCCGCCACTATGGTCGCTACTATGACGTTTGGCATGAGATCCCTGATGCAAAGCCTTGTACCATTGCACATCTTCGGTGGGTTGATGTTACGAAGGAGCATGATTGGCAAACCAACCTTCAGATCAACTCTGTGAGGTGGTATCCCTTGGGCTCGAGTGAATTCAAGAACTCAGTGGGGAAGTAAACAGCCTGTTCACGCTGAACCATCGTATCAACGGTTGTGTACGTTGACACCGGTCCAGGTAGGCAGTTTAGAATCTGAGCATTGGTAGAATTCACTTGCTCATTTTTGGGTGCCTGAATTGCTCGCTCGCAAATCCAGTCCCCATTGCTAAAGTTGGTGGCAATGTTTGGGAAGACGATCAGTTTGATCGGTTCTCCCACCGATTGAACCATATTGCAGAAGTCTGGAGGAAAGGTACTTCAGCCATAACTTGGTTCAACTGAAATTCTGGCTTCGCCAAGAAGCAACAGCTGTTGAGCAAAGCTTCGGGCAGTCTCATCGCCAAGGAGGTAAACTCGCATGTTCGTCGTGAGATTCAGCGATTGGACATGTCTCCAGATATGAGCTTTGAAGCAAGCGTCCAGCTCATCTGCTGGAGTTGATCGCGGAGTCACTGTCAGAGTTTGACGAAAGTCGCCTGCCAGTAGCACGACGGCCCCACCCATTAGCCTGTTGCTTCCCGTATGTCCCGTAGTGTGTTGTCAAGGGCCTCTAGGCACTTCTTATGCGCCATGGTGCATTCGTCCCAAACTATGAGTTTGGTTTCTTGTAGCACCTTGGCTTTCCCTGTGCCTTTGTATCCCACACACTGGGTGCTCTACATGAGCAATATCTAGAGGAAGCTTGAAGGTTGAATGAGCAGTTCGGCCTCCTTCTAGCAGTGTTGAGGCAATCCCCGAGGATGCCACTGCTAGTGCGATTCCTTCATGTCTGCGAATCTCGGCAAGTAGGAGATTGATGAGAAACGTTTTCCCTGTTCCACCCGGAACGTCGAGAAAGAGTAGCCCACCCTTGCCACTGGAAATCGTGTCCAGAACAGCACGGTAAACCAACTCTTGATCCTCTGTAAGAAGAGGTCTGTTGGACTCTACAAGTGTGGTCAGCTGATCGGCATCATAGGACCTCTCTCAGAGAACATCGCTCTCGAGTGCCTGGTCATCTCCGGTATTGGTGACGGCAAACCGAGGTCTCTGAGGGTTTGACCGGTCATGGACACGCACGTATCCTCAAGCAGTATCAACGCTCGGTTGAATATCTGGGTAACCGACGTCTGCAAAGGGTGCCACTCTGCGACATTCCCTGAGTACGTCTTCACTCAAAGCCTCTTTGTACTTCTCCCAGAGTGCTCGAGGATTTGGCGGTTGACAGGCTGTCAAGATTAGCCGAGGAGATTTCGCAGTTGAGCAACGAAACTTATCGTAGCTGCTTCTGCGAGAGTTCTGTTCCATTGCTGATCATCTTCAAGCAAGCCAAGTCTTTGGCATGCTTCTCTGTAGGTCTCATAAACCTCTCCATCGATGGTCCTTAATGCTGCGAATGACGTCGGTCCTCGAATTGTGTGAAGCAACAATCTGAGGTAGAAGCATTCGGCTTGGTTAGGATGTACAGTATATACACGTGCTAACACATTTGCTGCTCTAACGTCATATCCGGGAACTTCGACGCCTTTCTTTCTTCTGACCTACTTCTTTGTTGACTTGTTCCAAGTATAAATTCTGGAACTTCTGAGTACAACAAAGTCCGTGCGAACGGATCATGTTGGCACAGAAGGAGGAATGCCGTCAAAGCTGTTTGAGGTGGTTGCGCAGCTCTTTGCCGCGCATTATCAGCCGTGAAGTAGACGCGTTGTCCATTCTCTAGATGGATATGTAGATGGGTAACAGTTGGGTAATGTTCGTGTATCCTGGATACGCCAAACTGCCTCGTTGCTGCTTATGTACCAGCCCGTTTGATATCGTTCGATCTCATCAAACGGTGCAGTGGCATGCTCGAGGCCGAACGTTGCCATATCACTTCCCTTGTTCACATATTTGCAGATGTACTCAATCGACTTCACTGAATTACAGTACTCCAAATTAATATGTGCTCGAAACATTTTCGAGAGCAAGGGAGTGTATGGCACAACCCAGCTGTTGTCCACCACGACGTCTACGATCTGATGGTCCACCTTCATTCAAATGAGGGCGGTATGTCCTCCATCATCAGGCTTTCGCCTTCTGTATAGGGGATAGCCATCAGTCCCCGTTTAGTTTCGCGGATCAGCTGTCGAGGGTACCTTTTGGTGCATGTGCGGTCCTTCATGCAAGGCGACCTCGGATTTAGTGGTCCGCATGGCCCGTGGGTCATGCTTTTGAGGACAACATCGAATAGAAGAGGAGGGTCCTCTTCTCGACTGGGAAGCTCCGCCGAGATGATGCTGTCGATTTGATCTGGGATCGTAACTTTTCCTTCAGTCACACTAAGATATGGACATGCGGAAGACCGCGTTTCTGCCATTCCACAGTGTACATCTAGCAGCGAGTGTCTTTGTAGACGTGGCTCTTCGTTAGCACGTCTATAAGCTTCGTAACCTTTTGTTTAAAGACTCTCGCCGTGATGTCGTGGCGGTCAGAAGGAAAGAGTTCACCGGGAGAGAGCTCTTCCGCAATTTCTGTCCACGCCAGGTTGCACGTAAACGTGATGAGCAGATTAGGACGCCCGTACGCTCTAACGTAGGCCTTTGCGTCCTGAGTGTACTCGTGCATGTGGCGGCCGCCCGTGAAGGAGGATGGAAATATGACCATTTGCCGGAGGTCAGTGACATTTCCATCTCCGGCCACGGCATCCCGCTGGTGGATATAGTCGTCTGCACGCAGCTTTCGCTGATTGCGTCGAATGAAGAGGAGCCATTCACTCTCAATCTTGGCGTACATGTCCACGATGAACTGGTGAAATAGTTGGCGACATTTCACGACGTGGTTGAAGGACGCGGACCTTATCATCATGCGATGCGCATAGAAATTCATAGCCGATACCCTCTTATTGGTAGGGGCACCAGCGCTAGGATTCTTCTGCCATAGTTCGAAGTGATACCCGTCTACCCCATCCCAGAACATGAGTGGGTATTGCAGGGCATCGTACGACCTATGGGAGAGAGAGATGCGCTGCAACCTTTCGCAACGTTTTTCGATGATAATGTCACGCCCGTCGCAGTCGTCTTCGCCAACCAAAATCCACCGCCATCTCGCTTAC